TTTTCATGCTGTCCATATACTAATATGCGATTACAGTTAAGGCACATAAAATCATTATGCAATGGCTTGTATATTAATTTCATAATGTGTTTATTGTCGTTGCGCTGCGATAAAAGTTTATCATTGTCAGCAGGGTTCTGACTGTAATCAAAAGCCACAGTAGTGAAAAAATACACATATATATATATATGTATATATATATATATATATATATATATATATATATATACACATTTTTTTCACATATGTGTGTTCAGTGAGTGCTTGTTGGAAGAATTCAATTGGGTTTTTATATTTTCTCAGGAAAATGAGGGTTTGCTCCCCAGTTCAGCACCTGGGTTGGAGCTTCAGCCTCAACAGGACATGAAATCCCTGGTACAGTAAAAAAAACAAAAACAGTTTATTACTGACTCTGAATGAACCTGTCTCACATCCTTCATTCCTCAGAGGTTTCACTGGATCTGCCTCCTCCTCGTCTCTGTGTGTCTGTTGCTATGGTACAGTCATGTGATGAGGTCTGGACTTACCATGAAAACAGGCCTGCGTGGTTATGTGAGGGTTCATCTCAACACTCGCTCAACTTCATATGTAAGCTGCATTCCATCTTTGACCCTTTGAACAATTCCGTTTTAAAGGAATAGTTCACCCAAAAATGATTATTTCAATTTGCTAAAAATGTACTCAACCTCAGGTCATCCAAGATGTAGATGAGTTTGTTTCTTCATCAGATTTGGAGAAATGTAGCATTGCATCAGTTGCTCAGCAATGGATGCTCAGCAGTGAATGGGTGCCGTCAGAATGAGAGTCCAAACAGCTGATAAAAACATCACAATAATCCACACCACTCCAGTCCATGCAGTTAATGTCTTGAGAAATTAAAAGCTGCGTGTTTTCTTGATCTGTGCATATTTCTCACCTAATTCAGACAAGATGACTTTTTCACTGGAGAAAGCAATATTATTAATAGAGGACTATTTTAAGCGACGGTTTGAAGTTAAAAAATCTTAATGATGGATTAGTTTCTTACAAACATGCAGCTTTTTGTTTTTGTTTGGACTCTCATTCTGACGGCACCCATTCACTGCAGAGCATCCATTGCTGAGCGAGTGATGGAATGCTACATTTCTCCAAATCTAATGAAGGAACAAACTCATCCTAATCTTGAACGGCCTGAGGGGGAGTACATTTTCAGCAAAGTTTTATTTTTAGATGAAATATTCCTTTCATATATTCCTAGTATACACTACCGATCAAAAGTTTGGGATCAGTAAGACTTGTAATGTTTTTTAAATAAGTCTCTTTGACTTATTTATTTTATTTATTTATTTATTTCAGTCATTGAGGCTGCATTTATTTGATCAAAAATACAGAAAAAAAAAACAGTAAAAACAGAAAATGTTATTACAACAGCTTTGATCACAGGAATAAATTAGATTTTAAAGTATATTAATTGTATATGTATCTAATTAATGTATATTAATTATATTTTAATGTATATTAATATCATTGTGAAATAATATTTCACAAAATTAAATGTTATAAATGCAGTCTTGATGAGCATAAGAAACTCCTGTAAACAAAAACATAAAAAATCATTCTGATCCCAAACATTTGACTGGTAGTGTATATAATGTGTTTTCAGTTCCTGGACTTCCGCTGTGGCCGCTGTGCCGTGGTGTCCAGTTCAGGGCAGATGCTGGGCGGTGCACGGGGTCAGGAGATCGACCGACAGGACTGTGTGATCCGCATGAACGCAGCGCCCACCGTCGGGTACGAGGATGATGTGGGGAACAGGACCAGTCTGCGTGTGGTCTCTCACACCAGCGTGCCACACCTGCTACGGCAGCAGGGCTATTTCTTCGGGCGAGAGGCGGGAACTAGGTACGTCATTTGGGGCCCTGAGAAAAACATGAGGCAGGATGGAAAGGGGAAAATCTTCAATGCACTAGTGATGCTGGCCAAGAAGTATCCACATACAAATATCTACACCGTCACCAGAGAAAAGGTTCAGTACTGTGACAGCATCTTTCAAAACGAGACGGGCAAAAACAGGTTAGTCTTCCTCTCTTCTATCATCATTATTATGTAAAAAAGCAATTGTAAATGTAGTAAATGGATCGCTTTATCTCTGGCAGGATGAAATCGGGGGCATTTCTCAGTACAGGGTTTTTTACCATGATTTTGGCTCTGGAGGTGTGTGACAGTATTCTGGTTTATGGAATGATTGACGGCTCTTACTGCTTTATTTATGACATATTTATTCATATAAGTGTGTCAAAATATGTCATTCATATGGGTGTGTCAAAATATGTCATTCATATGAGTGTGTCAAAATATGTCATTCATATTCATATATTCATATGTCAAAGTGAATATTAATTTTATTAAGTTTATATACGTGTGTGTATGTGTAAACAGACAATTATTTGAAATTAAAATAATTTATGGAATGATTGACGGCTCTTACTGCAGGTGAGTTCAGTTGTTTGAGTTTAGTTTGTTAAGAAAAAAACCATCAAATTCAGTCATTTTTGCATTGTAATTAATTTTGGATCTGACATTATGTATATAGAATTGCATCTCATCTGTACAGAAAACAATTTATAGAATTAATGGTCTGTAGAATTTTACACTTATAGCTTAGTATATTATATAATCAGTGGATTCATATTTTGAAGCGAATATTACTTTTATTGTGTTTATATATGAAGAGTTTATTTGCAAAAACAGATAACTCAGTTTTTTCACATTTTCAAAAATCATGTTTTTTATGATGTTATCGTGTTTTTATTGTGTTTTATTGTGTTAGTTAGCTGTATTTTTTTGTTATTTTTACTTAATCAAAATAACCCAATTGCAGTTTGACTGATATTAATTGGAATACACAATAAAAAAACATGATTTTTGAGTTATCTGTTTTTGCAAATGAACTCTTCGAATATTGCTGGATCTTATGACAAATTGCTTGTGATGTTTCTCATTTGTAAGTCACTTTGGATAAAAGTGTCTAGTGTGTGTCAAAATATGTCATTCATATTCATATATTCATATGTCAAAGTGAATATTAATTTTATTAAGTTTATATACGTGTGTGTATGTGTAAACAGACAATTATTTGAAATTAAAATAATTAATAATTAAATTCATATAATTAATTATGAATAATTTGTCACATTTATAGGAAAGAATTTACAGAATTAGACTGCAGAATATATTTAGACATGTTTAAGTTTATAATTAATAATAATTAATTAATATAATTGATACTGTATACTCTTTCACAAACTTCCTTACATGTACAGAAAATAATTTACAGAAACAATGGACTGTTGGATTTTTCATACCCGTTTATGTTTACACTTATTTATAGCTCAATATATTATGTAATCGACAGATTCATATTTTAAAGTGAATATTAATTTATTTATTAATATAACAATATTAATATGTTACGTAACATGTAACATTTATACATAGAGAGAGAGAGAAACTGAATACAAAACTAGGCACAATTATTTAGAAATAATTCATTAATATAATTAATTTTTACATCCTGGACAAAACAGAATATCTAAGTGTTCATGTATTTTTGCAGGTTTCTTTTGTAAAATGATATTTCTCCCAATGCAGTCCCCTGACTTCTGTGTTTTGGCTTGATTATAGTAACGCCAACCACTCGTTTGTGCCGTATCACTACTACGAGCCGTCGCGTCTGGATGAGTGCCGCATGTACCACGCTCACGAACACGCCAAGAGGGGCGGCCATCGCTTCATCACAGAGAAGCTCATCTACAGCCGCTGGGCGTCTCAGGGGAAACTGCAGTTCGTTTACCCGCCCTGGCCACCGCAGGAACATCAGCAAGACTAGTTTCAACCAGGTTTGACTTTGTGTGAAGTTGCAGGTCAGGCTTCAGGAAACATTTTTCCTCGCAATGTCAGTTTATGCTCATATCAAAAAGCAACATTTGAATCATGCTGCTTTGCCATTGTTTATTCGGTACGGTTTTATTCCTTCAGTCTTAAACATAATTCTGCATAGTATTCTTCATAATAACGAGCCTTTTACATTATTGTATCATTGACAAAAATGTGTCTGTCTGTTGTTTGTTAGTCTGATCTCTGGTTTACTAGCACTTCCCATGATCAACTACTGAAATAACTAAACCCGTCTGTGTGAGAGCATCTGAATTGAGAGCTCAAATGACATTACAGTGTATGTACGTCATACAATACCTCTTATATCAAACATAAATAATCTCTCAGGTGAAACAAGAGCGTTTCACTGTGTATTCATGGCGATGATCAGATGCAGTATCATATCTGAAGCTATGCATTTCCTTCTCACTGATCTGCTTTAACCACTATAGACCACTGCTTCTGTAACTCAAGCCTAGTTAGCAGTAATCAGAGTTAACTAACTAACTTCCCGTCACAGACTGAACTTGCTCGGATGTTGCAGTTTACTTGCAGATTGACATTAAAATATTTCTACAGAGTTTCTATCCCTCCTCTTAAATGATTAAAATCGTACAAAATCACTTGACGTATAATGTATGTCAATGTCATCTTAACTGTGTAAATATGATATTGTATAATCTATGATATAAATGCTCAAAACGTATAATACTACATGTGATCACTGCAATCCTTTATGCAGTGTTAGATGTGATCATATTTTATTTTCATTATACATTTATTAGTAATTAGTCATATTAAAATAACTATTTATTATTTTGAATGTTTTCTGACACTGATGTTTTTATTATTAACACTGTGATTTCCTAATATTTCTTAGCAAAATGATGTTTTTAAGCATTTAACATTCTCATCAACAAAATTATGTCCACATTTTTTCAAGAGAACTCCGCTTTTTTTTTACCTTGATTGCACTTTTTATTTTATTATTTTATGTGTGTGTTTATAGAGAATTTGATGATTCGACACCTAACCCAAGAGGGTTCATTTCTATTTTTACGTGACTGAAAAGGTACTGTGCTTTTATGATTATATATGTTTATTTTTGTATTTATTCCAAAGTGCAAAATGTTACTGTGGAACCAAACTCTATTATTTTCGATATTTCAATATTGCATGTATGTGTTCGCTTAAGATGTTTATTTCATATATTAATGTTTATTTCATATATTAACCCGAGAGAAACTAACTGTATTTGTATATTACTACACAGTATAATGAGATAAGATGATATTCAGTTTAATGTGTATTTTGTTTGACATTACATTGTGTCTTGTTGTCAACCACTCTGTATTTGATGCATAGCCTAATATGAGTTATGTGTTTCCAGTGAAAATTACTAAATTATTCTTTTTTTTTTTTTTTTTTTACTTTAAATTTTAAATGACTCCGAATGGATTAGAAAAATCCTACTTTTTGTACAGCATTGGGGAAACATTTTATTTTAAGGACACAT